GTGCTTCAGTTAATGGAAGTGATAAACGATTTGTAAAAATGTCTAAAAGTACACTTTCTAAAAGATCTTTGGTCACGGTTATTGCAGGAATATCATTAACAGTTTTAGAAACTAGGTCATTGATCTGACTGGGTAAAATCGGATTTTTTGCTTCGTCATCTTTTATTATAGTTTGGTCTACAGTAGTATCGAAAATTGGCAAAGAGTCTTTGAATGCCTCAGAAGAAGAGTTATTAGTGTGTTCAAGTTCTTGTGATTTGGAAAGATTTCCATCTACCTTAGGTATAACAATCATGTTTTCTGTATGATTCAAAGATTTATTAGATATTTTTGGAAATGAAATATTGTCTATTTCATCGACAGACTTTGTTAAATCTTGAGTTATTTCTGTTTGAACAGTTTCGTTATTAATTTGTTCTATTGATGAAGAAAAATCTGATGTTGGAGTAAATGGATACAGACCTGCAGATAATGTCAACTTTTCCAAACAATGTGCAGTAATATCAGTATTGCAACCTTCATCAATATGTGTAACAGGTTGAATATCAAGTAACGTATTTGATGGACCCTTTTTATTACCATTTATATCGTTCATATTAGGAATGCCCTCTTCGAAAGGTAGTGAAGAATTTACGTTACACTCAAAAAATTGTTTCTGACTTAATGGACATTCTAATAAGGGAGGTTCTGGTGCTAAGATCTCTACAGGCGTATTTGTGTCATCCAATGGAAACGATATTGGTATTGATTTTGTTGATGTTGGCGAAACTCCTGTGTTATACGTTTTATTGATATCAGCCAGTACATTATCCAGGAGAGCCTTAGTTACCAGTAACTTTGAAGTTAATGATGACATATCGGTTGGCAGTGGAAGATTTACTGGTATATCAGAATTAAAATCAATCGATGATTGATCTACTACAGATGGTTCAATAGCTTCAGAAGGAGAATTTTCGGGTCTTGGTGGTGATAGCAACTTTTTCTCAGTTAACTTTCCATGAATATACTCAATTTCACCTTTAACAGCTACGGATTCAGCAACTGGTGTCACTGATTCTTTAGTTACTTCATCAATTTTAATATTAGGTTTGATTACCTCTATTATTAACTCGTCTTCTGGTACCACTACTGGGCGATTCAATATTGTTGGTGTATCGTTAGATATATCTTCAGCTTTCGTAACTTTTGCAGGAAATAAGGTTATATCAAATTCATTTGTCGAACGGCTCAAGGGCAAATAGTCCAATATTTGTATTGGCAAACCATTAGAAATATCTGTATTTGTGGTTTCTTCAGAATGCTCAATTTTAGGCACATTGTATGAGATTGGTTCGTTCTCTATCAATTCTGAGAATTCAGGAAGCAAAATTCCCATTCTCAAAGGTAAATCTTTTATGTCATTTGTAGTATGTTCGATATTTCTATGTGACGGGTCCATATTAGAAATTGGTGCAACAAAGTTATTCACCAGGTAGGGTTTGGATCTATCCACTTCATAAGACGTTGCTAGATTATATTTAGTCTCTGAATATGGAGTTGATGAAAGCGTCTCGTCCCTCTCTTCTTGAAAATTGTCTCTAGCTATTAAGTTCTTTGGAGGTTCATTGTAAATCGTCGAATCAATATGATCTCGTCTTTCAGACAATAGCTTATCACTTCTGAATTGTGAAATGGAAATGTCAGGAGTAAGTGGTAACGTATTTTGACCTGTTATTGTGCTGTTATGGTCACCGCCAGACCCATCAATAGGCACTAACTTGACATCAATTATTATTCTTCTGTCAAATGGATTAATTGTAGGAGAATCTGACAAAAGTGATAGTTCTATCGGTATATTTGTAGTATGAGCCTTTAATGCAGGTATTGGTATTGTTTTATCTGCAGGTTTTGCCAGAGCACCAAGGTTTTCAGATAATGGTAATGAGATAGATTCATCCACTGGTAGTAAAGATACATTAAAAGGTTCTGTTGGTACTACTGTTGGCTTTGGCATGTCGTCAGAAAGTAAACCTGATTCCGGTATATGTTTAGGATATGAATGACGGTCATCTAATGTGGCATTTTCTTTCGGAACAAATTGATAATCTGAAGAAGTGTTGATGAATACTTCATTAGAAACAATTTCACGTGGAATTATTGGTAATTCGTTTTCATAGACATTATTGTAAGGCCCATAGCTTAATGAAGTTGCCTCACTGCCGGGGAAATCAAAGATTGGATGTTCTGAATTCAATATCTGTGGCAAAGTTTTCTCAGTATTCACATCATCACAAATGTCTATATGTTCATCATCCACTGATTTTTCATTACCAGTCGAATTGACAAAGGGCATCATATTAGTTAATGATTTGTGTGTCGAATTATTTAGAAATGGTTTCTCTTTTATCGATGACTGACTGCTCTCATTATTGTAACACATTGAATTTATTGGCAACGGTTCGCACATTGGCAGCAATGACTCACTGTTTGAAATATCATTTAGTAATTCACTAACGAGTGCAGTGGAAGCAGGATTATCATTTAGAAGTGGCGCCGTATTAGAGACACCATCATTAAGTTCATTATTTGGCATAGTTTCATCGAGTGACACTTGAGATGTATTTTGTTGGCAAAACATTGTTTGAGATGGGACGTCATTTGATTGCGTGGACGGTATATAGACAATGATAGGTGCATTCCCCGTAGTGTCAATCATATGTGACTGAGGTTGACTGACTGCGTTGTTATTGATTGGAATTATAATTATTGACGTTGGACCTGGACCCACTTGGTTTAACGGTATTTGACTGAGTTTATCAGTGAAAGCTACTTCTGTAAGAGTGTCAGTAGTTGTTTCATTCACCATACATTTTACATCACTAAAGTTCTCGATGTTCGTTTCTTCTAAAACCGACGAAATGTTGTTTTGTAGTACACACTCTGGAGTATCATCAATTTTAGCTTCCCATAATTCTTCAAATGCACTATTTGAGAAATCTGTCGACGATTGTAAATTATTTTCAATATCTTTAATAACTTCAACGTAATTAACAGGGTCTGTACTAGTAGTTTGATTCCTTATAGGATAACAGGTAGTATTTATATGTTCTTCTGGAATTTCGCAAACATTTTCAGTGGAATCTGGCGTATTCGTTTCATCACTGTTTAGTATGTCTTCGATGGCGGCTAGTGCTTCAGCTAGGAGAGTAATTTTTGAATATTTTAATCTATTTGTGCTAGTTTTAGTTGCTGACTCTGAACGATTGCTTGTAGTAAATCCAGCATTGACAGGATTATCGGAGATCGGGCAAATATCTTGTGTATCTGAATTAGGTATTTCTTCGGTAGACAATTCCATCGTAATATTTGCATCTGACGAATTTTTAGCAACATTTTCTAGTAGACTAGCAGTGATGAAGTCTTCAGAAATTTTTTCACTAGTTGCTGTCTTTTTAAAATTTAATCCGCTCTGACCAATGTTGCTACGTTTCGAATTATCCGTAGATGTACGTTTATTTTCTTCTTTTAGTTTATCGTACGACTTCAAAAATTGTCTTGCGTTTGTTTTTGTCAGTCTTGTTGAAGGATTTTTAACGTTTTCATTGGTTTTCTGTCTTGGGGTTTCTAATCCATCGAATGGCGTCGGTGGGGCAAGTGAAAAGCTATTCCAGTACATAGGCTCCCACGTCTCCATTGTATTGAGAGGATACTGGATATCTGGAAACGCCTGTGGATCTAGTAAAGTGTTTACGGAGCCCGATGGAAAAGTGGTCGGCAACGTTTCTTTTGTCGGCTGATTAATGTCATTGTTTAAGTGAGCATTACTTTGAAGTTTGCGTTTCATCTTCCTCTCTTTCTTTAATTCATTGATAATTGAACTTTGTGTGTTACGTAAACTGTTTACCTTTGGTCTATTTGCCTGATAGTTATTAAAGTTGGTTTTTAAATTAAACGGATCTCTTGGAGTGGTGTCCAATGGAAAATCAGTTTCAGGGAAATTGTGCTTCTTAAAAATAGATTCTTTTGGAAATGGGTTCTTGCTGATTCTAGCATTTTGGTTTGTTTTTCCGATTGTTTGTTTTGATGTCTTGTCGGTTCGTGCTGGTGAAAATGGCGTTGATAAGGGATTGTTTTTAGCGGGGTTCAAGTTGTTTAGTAGGGCAGATTTTCTTGGCGTTCTTGGCATGCAATGTCTGCACGCTATCTGTAATGGACGAAGTTTGTGTCAGCTACAAAGTTACCGACTCTCTAATCTATGCGCTAATTCTTCAAAAGATTGTTATTTATGTCTAGTTCCTGAAGTTATAAGAGACAAGTTTTGCGCGGATATCCGCATTTACATTTTGTGAAATCATTATTGTTTTGAAACTTGATACACAAGTGATAAAAGTTACACTTTTTTGAGAATACAGAGCTATAATGTAATAATATTTTTGTATATGAAAATTGTGTAGGCACAATAGGTACATAGAAATCGGTAGAAGTGTTCCAAAAATGTGCAAAATAAAAGATAAGGTTATGAACATAAACTAGAGTCAATTAAATAAATAAATTGGACTCACCTGTGTTATCACAATAATCACTAAAGCTTTGGCCGCCTTCCCCCACAGTCCCATCTCATTAGAATATTTCAAAACATAAGCGAGTATTATTTATATTAAATTTTATTATCTTGGAAATCGATACGTGACCATTTTTATTCTTTTGACGAAATCTTTTTTCTAATCGAATGTTTAATATATTTGATAATACATCTATTTGTCTATAGATACACATGTATATTGCCGTAATAGTTATTCTTTGAATAGTAGCATATCTTACATTGTAGCAATAGACTTGATCACTATAACAAGGGTATAACATAACTGAAAAAAAAAGTTTCTTTTAATATTACAAACATTATCCTATCTATTCGGGGGATAAATGGCGTTATATGTATTATGATAAAATGTGTTTTTGTTTCTCTTTTGTTTAAAACACATATTCTTAATGTTTTTCTTTTTATTGCAGGTAACCATTCGTTCACAAATAAGCTATTTTCGTTACTGGTTTTTGGTAAGTAAAATAAAATGTAAATGTGTACACTACAATACATTATTTGTCCATACAAAATAATACTTCTGGATGTTTTCTGTCGTTAGTTTAGTACATGTGACGATGTGGTTCATTCATAACCTGCGTAAATTAGAAGTTAACATTTAATCTTAAAATAATTAGTTTAGTTTTTATACAATTAAAAAGCGTGAAGTTATGGACATTACACATTTTATTAAACTTTATAAATACGTTTTTAATATTTATGTTTCTCATAATATGATATGATAATATTGTATGAACTTCTTCGTTCGAAGTCCAACAGCCTACACTTTGAAACTAGAACAAAACTGTAAAAGCTCAACTACCAGTACAAGAAGTATTAGTTTCGTTGGCAATCTTCCCAATGTTTCAAATATCACTTTGCATATCCTCAGCAGTACTAGTATCTATGTTATTCTCATTAAATAATGAAGTTATATTAGCCGCAGTATCATTTGTATCGTCCAAACCTTCAAATAATGGCATCCTTATTTGATCATGCCCTTCTGAATGGAAAGAATTTCCATCGAATTCAACAATAGTCTCATTGTTTGGACTTATTAATTCTGATTCGTCAGTATCACTTTCGACTGTTGTATTGTTAACATCTTGAAATTCTTCTTCTATGATCGTTATATTCTTCATAAATTCGTCCAGGTCTTTAAGTAATTCAGCAACAAGACCCCATTCTTCAATGTCTACCATAGATTGGTTCGTTTTTGACCCATTCCTGAACATGTTCTCCGTACTATTATCAAAATAGGGAACCTCCAACTCAACTGTATCATTGTCTAAATCTAATATAGTGTTATCTTGAACAGTTTCGTTTGTGCTCGTTTCATTCGAATTGATTTCATTTCCTTTTGTGTCGGTTGCTTCTTTCACTTTTTGTGTTAGAAGCGTCAATTTTTCTTGACTTTTGTCAGGCTTAGGCCTGTTGCCCTGAGCGATGAGTGAATTGAACGATGATTTCACGTCATCAGAGAAAGGACTTGTGTTCATATAAAAGGGCTTTGATGAATCAGCTATGCTTTCTGGATATTCTACTTCAGGGAAATATTCTGATGGAAAACCTTGTGTTGGATTATCATAGTTTGTTTTGCTGGTTACCTTGTATCTTGCAGGAATTACTTGATCTGATGGTTTTGATGATAAATGCTTGAAATTACTCGTTGGGTTTTGTGTTGTTTTGTAGCAATAGATGTTCTGGAAAGAAGCGGTAACGGTAAATATACACACGAAAACGATGTTGTATATAACAATGTTGTCGCGGCAAATATTATCAAGGTTATTTACTTACTTGTAGAGTTATAAATAACAGAAAATATGGTAAAAACATTGTGATGTTTCTTTTACTAATGCCTGAAATAACTATACAGAGTAGAGTATATTTTATACAGCTATTGTATTGTATCCTATAGTAGCCTATATCTATACAATATACTACAGAAAAATGTTTGATTTGATATTTAGGTTCGGGGTTTTATAGCGTCCGCATTTCCAAAATGCATATTGTGCAAAAATTAAAGCAACATGTTGCATACTTTAAGGACGTGTCTTATCGTGAAATTAATTAATATTACCAGAGTTTTATCTAGAGATGTGTAGTAATAACGTTTATTACGTAATTCGTTGATTACCGTTGTCAGTGCAAGTTGTCGCCATTTAGTTTTATTGCCGCTCGTTAAACATTACCCTGGCTCAAAATAAAAGACAGATATAGAAATCCACTATGCAGGTTTTTATATTTTTTTTCAATCACATCGTTTTTCGAAAACAGAACAAAATGGAGTTAGGATTCTTTAGCAAATATATTTAAAGATTTTAATAGAATGGTGTGTTCTAAAATTTAAATTTAAAATCCGCGTCAGCAACGGCCACATCCGCATCCACATCCGCCACCGCAACCACCACATCCGCACCCACCACCGTTACCACCAAAACCGCCATTTCTGCCAAACATGGCAAGGATGAGGATTGGCAGGATAGAGTCCAGGTCATTGTCGTTGTCTCGTCCAATCACTTGTGGGTAGTAGCCGCCGTATCCAGGGTAGAACTGGCACTGAGCCCAGTGCATCTGTGAGGGAAGACAAGATGATGTTAATCATATTGGAATGATTTATCGCTTACACTCTGTTGACAATAGGCCAGAAGTTGAGTTGACTGCTGAAATCTGGGTAAACTAATCATATTTTGTTTGATCCGTTAAGAAATATTAGCCGGTCGTGTTATAATTAGTGGGTAATGAAGGTTGTTATTTCGATAAATTATGACGAATATATTGCATAGATATTAATGGGGTGTTGTAAAAAAATATTAAAGCATAGCGACTTAGGGAGATTCTTATTTAAATTTTCTTAAAAATGATGGAAATTCTTCATAGAATCAATTAAATTTATAGTTCTAACGTTGAAACATTGTTGACACCCACGTCACCACGTGTCCAGTTATTATGTAGGCAGTCTTTGATGTTGTAGTTACGGACGCAGGGTTAGGAATTTGGTATTTCTGAGTAAATTTAATTTTAAACGATTAGACTATGAACCTAAAGGTTTAAAAATAGGTTGCGTTGTTTTTGGCAAATGTTGTGGTTTCTTTTACACTTAAAATATATTATACTAGCTTTTACCCGCAGCTTCAGTCGCGTCACAAACGGATAAACAGTAGCCTATGTGACATACACCAATACACACAGGGATAAAAAGTGCTCTATTATTTAATCCAGACTTCTAACTTAACGTCTGCAAAAATTTAAAGCAATCGGTTTAGTAGTTACGGCGTGAAAGCGGAACAAACAAACAAACTCCCTTTCCAATTTATAATATTAGTAAGGATAAGGATTTAGATACCTTCCACACTTTTAACTGGTGTATATATAAATTTTAACAGGTCTAGATAAAAGGCAATTTAAAGTGGCTTTTAGAACAGAAGTTGCAATGCTTCCCAGGATTATTTCTTGAAAAAAATATCTAAGATATTGTTTTACATAAAGTACGTCAATTTGTTACGCGATTGTTTTACGGCGAATTTTTTGTGACTAGGCTCTTAGGCTGTATTTATAGGTATATTTTTTTTCTATTTTAGTTAGCTATTGTATACAAAGTATCATAATATATTGACTTGCGAAAAAGGTATGTTAAAATCACGTTTTTTTTAATAAAAATAATTTATAAAACTTACGTTCAAAACGATCAATAGAGCTGCGAATACTACAAACTTAGCTGAAGCCATGTTGACTGAATATCCCTTGACAAAACAATACCTACTTTTATATATTTTCAAGTTCTATATCAAGCTATTTGTTACCCAATTCCTAGTTTCGTAAATAGGTATATGTGCCATATTAAGCACGTAGCTCCTTGATTAGAAACTATTTCCTAATTTTATTTTATACATTTTTACAATTGAAATGGAATGCGGTACTTATTCCTAGAGATAGTTTTCTCAAGGTTAATTGTAATTGTTAGTCAAAGTTAAACAAAGTCAAAAGTTTTGCTTACATATCTGGCTAAGCTGACTCCGGCTCGAAGTACAGGAGTAGGAACGGGGTAGTTTTTAGTCGATAAGAGTCTGACACTCCCTCTCGACTCACCGGGCGGGAGAAGACATTCAATGATTTTCCACACTCAAAAAAAAAAAATCTGGCTAAGCTCGTGAAACGTTTAAAAATCCTGCATCGAACCGATCTCCAGTTGTTTTTTGCCTTTTAAAAAACCCTCCGCGGCTCCGTATCTTCTACGTACTTGGATTAACAATGTAATCTACAAGTCTCAAAGGTAATTGAGATCTTCAGCCACTGAAATATCTTCTTGAATAGGACAATAATAGAAATAGTTATATTTACCCTCTCTGTTTCAGTGGAATTACACTAAAGTATGAAGCGAAACCTCGATGTTTGACATTGTTCCAACCGTGTAATCCATTGTAAATGTTACTTTGTGAATACGATTTTGAGCTTTGAAGATTAATTGTTTGATAATCATTGTCTATTTATAGTAGGTTGAGATGAGAATTTACCTCGTAACTGATTGATTTATTTATTAGTACAGTGGTAAACGCAAGTAGTTTTAGATTTGATAGCAAGGTTGGTAACAGTTTAAATGTTTTAGTTTTTGAAATCTTTAGTATTGACACTAGCCCTGAAATAATACCTGCCAGGTATAATAAGGTAATAGACCCGTAATGTCTGTATTCATAATATCAATAAGTTAAGGGACTCCGGCTCGAAGCAGGATTAAGAATGGTGCAGTTCTTTCAGTGAGTAAGAATTTGACACTCCCTCTCTCCACACTCAGGGTGTCAGAAGCCATTGGGTGATTTTTCATACCTCAAAAGAAAAAAAACTGCCTCGTTGCCCGAGTGTTCGCGAGTGAGACTGCCGGGCAAGGGGTCTCGGGTTCGATTCCCGGACCGGACAAAGTATTACTAGATTTTTAAAAATCTCAGTAGTAGCACGGAGTTTGGAAATGTGCCCGGTATATGGCAATAGGCTCACCCCCTATTACATGGGACTCAACATAAATAGTGAAAAGTGGGTGTTACATTGTACAGTGGCATTAAGTGCCGTAATGTGCACCTCTGCCTTCCACTTTGGGGATAAAAAGGCGTAATGTTATGTTATGTTAGTTTTAGAGACTAGAGATTGAAAGCTTGGTTACTTAGTCTTTGTAAGTAAGATAAAAGGCCATTAATCGTCTTTAAACACTTGTTTTATTTGTGGATTATATGTATGAAATACACAACATATGAATGAGGAGTTGAGGAACCCTTTCAAAGTCGTTTGAATGTTATTTCATCAATCTAAATGGTGTTTTTAAAATTAAAGGCGACTGTAAAGAAGAAAGCATTAAATTTTTTTAACATCAACTGATGATTTTATATATTAAATATTAATGAATAATGTTTTATTATTATTTTAAATTTATTATCTTTCTCTATTTTATCGTCTCTCAGTAAAACTCTATAGTAATTTGTATCACAATATAGTAATAGTGAAAATCCATTTAATTAACTTTTATAAATGAAAAGTATAAAATAATCAAGACACGTGTCAAAAAAAAAGTTTAATTAATAAAATACAATTTACAATAAACTTATCATTTAATGTTTACACACTACTCGACTAAATTAAAATAATGAAACTTTTCGAAACAACTTCGTTTACATTACGATATATTAATACTCGGTTTCGTAGCATTATCACTTTTAGGCAAGACAATAGTAATCTGCACAGTTGTACTGCATTTATTGCCACTGTTGCAATTGTTATCATTGCTATTATTACACCCGTTGCCACAATTGCAATTATTATTGTTACAGTTGCAACATCTGCAATTACTAGGGTTGGGAGGAGGGGGAGGGATCGCATTATTATTATTATTAAATAGCGAAGTCAGTAATAGACCCAGAATATCGTCAGTCAGACAACGGTCATCATCGTCGTCATCATCATTTATTATGATGATTGGCGGCTGGTTGCTCTGCGGTTGCTGGCATATTTGCGCTGGTTGCCAGTAAGGCGAGTTGTAACTGTCGAAACTTGGTTGAGGCAAGGTATCGTACCCATATACGGTAGGATTGAGATATTGGTTGTTGCAGCGTTCACAATAACATCCAGGGTTATCGTAACCGTTGCTGTATATATTGCAGGTTGGGTCGTAAGAGCATTGGAAGCAGTTTGAGTTGCACTTAAGGTTGCCACATGGTTCTTCGTTAGGAATAAAACTTTTGCAGTTGCAGTATGGGTTGCAGTATGGGCCATTTAAGTTGCTACATGGCCAGCAATCTCGGTTGCCACAGAAGGACGAATATGTGTTACATAATGTTCGAATACATGGTTTACATGTATATAAATTGAGCTGAAACAATTTCAATAATTAGTTAGACAATAATAATAGATTGAACGATCGAAACATTGTTAACAATTTGTACAATAATGGTTTCAATAAATAGATACAATAACAAATACGGCTTCAATGAAAATTACGCAAAATTAAGACTGTTTCCAAAGAAAACCTCGAGGAATAGACTAGAAGGCACGAACGTAACATAAACATTACTTTTTATCACGCTAGTTTCATTATTTCATTTGCGAAGAAAATAAGAATTGTTCCCGGTAGCATTTTCATCTGATACTTTTCTTAGTAAAAATATCATTCTTATTACTTGCTACACAAAGCTACGAGTTCTGTAATGTTAATTATGTACAAAATGAGTGTAATTAACAGTATCAAGGCGCATTGCCTTAAGAGGAAATATTGAGCATAATTCTCTTGCAATATCGCCGATGACAGCTTTGAATAATGAGGTAAAAAAAGGAAAAATAAATCAGGAAAGCTCACGTTTCCGCATTTTCAGGATAAAAATGATAAAAAGATGTTTTAGTGAAGATCATTATTATTATTACGATCAAATAATTATTTATCTTTCATCGATTACTTTATTTATTCAAGACGTAAAATTGTCCTATTGGAAGGGTCCTATATAATTTTTCGTATTTAGTTTTTATTTCTGTATTATGAAAGTGTACACTGACCTGTATAACCAGTAGCAATATGTTGAATGTTATTTTCTGTAATCGAGTCATCTCGTCGTCCTCACTATTCCATATGGCGATAGACTCGTAAAATTCATGTTTATATTACCTCTTCGTGGCACCAATACACAAATAGGTCATAAGACATTTCATAATAATTAGAACACCAAATGATTATTATGAGAAAATCAAGGACGATGGCGAAGGTTGACAGTTCGTTGTTGTTCTCTCAGTCAACCGAAAGATATGCACTCAAAATGATCTTTCTATTTATGGTAGATAAGACTCAACTTATTCATAAATCTGTGGTAGATAATTTATGTTTATAGTAGAAGGTAAAGGTATTCGGTCATCTCACATTCAATAAGGTTATTCAAAACGATTTAAACACAAACAAATTAAGTATTTAAATACTCATTTATTTACCAATCACAATATTTATGATCCATTGTTCATTGCGTTTAATTACAATTACAATCAGTCCTAAACAAGACAGTTATTTCATTGGGATTCTGGCTTGGTTGGCTGGGGGAGGGTTCATCAGAGTTAGGGAAAGGGTTATCTGAGAATCCTCCAAAACCTGGGAAGCCAAATGGGAAGGGGCTGGCCAAGGGGTAAGGGATAGGGTAGGGAATGTAAGAAGAACACCCGCATCCATTATTTCCACTGAATCCAAGGTCGTATACTCCACAGTTTCCACCACAACTGTTCCCGCATCCACATCCATTATTTAATCCAACACCACCATAACCATTGTTGTATCCTGCGCCACATCCGCCGTTGCAATTGCCACCACATCCGCCCCCATAACCGCTGTTGCATCCACCGTTGCATGCACCTCCGCAGCCGCAACCACCTCTCCTATTTCTCATAGCGAAGATAAGGTAATAAAGAATGTGATGCCAGTTGTCATCATCATCGTCGTCAATAATGATGGGAGCCATTGGTCCAGGAAAGCTGGGGGCGAAGCTGGGTGCGACGGTAGGATAGCCAGGGTTGTAACTAGGTGTGATAGGGATAGACTCTTGCATGTAATACGGTGATCCTGGCAACGCCTGAATGGTTGTAGTTACTGTCGACGGATTCGGTGGGTTGAGGTACTCAACGCGGGCTGCTTGACCATGCACTCTGCATAGCTGGAGAAAAATATACGAGTTTTAACAAAAATATCGCAGTTGTTTTTTCTTCTATAATAAACATATTGGTTTGATTCTTTACTAGTTACACTTGTATCATGTTTTTCAATATGTTAAAGAAAGTAGATAAAATTAAAATGAGCTTACCTCCAAACACAATAAGAAGGCAGCGAACACCACAAGGTTCTTTAGACCCATTTTGGAAGTTGACGTGTGATCAATGACACGTCGCGTGGTCTATATATACTATGTGTTTCTAAACCTGAACTGTTTACTAAACGTATGATGTAATAGACCCTTATTAACTTTGACACGTTTTAAAAAGATACCCAATATTTTTAATTAGAAATACTACTTCGCGGTAGCCAATTACCAACTATTTTTTGTAACCATGCTACTTGAAGGAAGCAATATAGAACATCAATTTATTTACGTAAAACATATATTTCACAAAATATACAGTCGAACAAAATGGAACATGTAAATAAAACGAAAAGGGTAATGGAAGAGAATACAACAGAATTTACAGCGACAATTTAACAGATTTGTGATTTCGAGTGTGAATTTTGTATAACGTAAAAAATATTGAGAAAAAAATATGAAAATACATTCTGTGAAATTAGTTATTAGTGATAACAGGGCTGTTGATTGGGATAGGGATGGGATAAGGGATAGGAATGTTTTGTCCTCCGCCATTGCCGCATCCGCCGCCACATCCACCACCGCAACCGCCTCCAAATCCGCCGCAACCACCACATCCGCCAAAACCACCATTGTCACATAGCAAGAGAAGAAGAATCGGCAATATGTGCTTCATACCGTCATCATCGTTGCCAGACTTCACTATGATGGGGTAAGGCGGAGGGGCACCATAGCCAGGGTAGCCTTGGGAGCCACCATACTGGGCCTGGATCAGGACGACCTGTAAGTCAAAACAATTTGTTAATAAGCAAACGTAATGCGTTTTATTTAATAATAAATTTGTTTATTATCCATTTAACTGTAATAAACGAAAGAAATAGAAAAGTAGTATGTGAAATCTATCTCTATCTATCTATCTATCTAAATCTATTCTTATGGTAATTTTGTACAACGAAATAAAACATGGAAACGGTTAACAACTTACGTTGGAGAGGGCAATGAAGCAAGCGAGCCACGCGAAGGAACTCATCGTAAATGTTGTATATTTTGTTACAGTAATCAACCAGTCTTATATACCGCCATCAGAACTATATCAATGATATTATTAGTAATATTCGTCGAACAACTATTAGCTTATCAAAAACCTTCCAAAAATTACTTAACATCTGATTACATTGTCACGTAATGTTATGTAAGGAAATACGTTATTGATATACATACTTTGTCTATTCTTAGATGGGAGTATGAAGCGTGATTATGATGAGATAAAGGTTCTTGAAAGTACATACTAGCTATCATACATATCTTACTTAAACTGCCTTTACTACGGGTAAAGGTTAAAATTTTGTGTTGAATTAACACTAGTCATAATTAAATAATCTATCTCTCGGTGGATTTTGCTACTACAGATAGAGTTTAGATATAATTGGCACGGTTGGTGCGGTGGCTGGACAACCGGCTGCCGTGCAACGGGCCGCGGGTTCAATTCCCGCACGAAGCCACAAATTATTATTTCGGGTCTGGGTGTAATGTTTTTGTGAACATGTATGTTTGTAAACGTACCCACGACAGAGGAGACAATCCTAGTGTGGGGCAACGTTTAAAACAATATTAATGTATCCAAATAGATTTGACATAGTCGGGTCAAGATAGAAATGTAATAATTTCTTTCATATAATGTTCCTTGCAAATGAATGAAAGGTCTGTTATCGAGATGGGAATCATCTGCAACATTCTCTGCATTGCAGGCTTTCCCACCTGCAAAGAATTAAGAGTGTCATAGCCTTTGATTGGATGATAATACTTTGAAGCTTAAATTGTACTTTTGCTACCTGCCTCATTAGCCGAGTGGTCGCAAGTGCGATTCCCGGGTCGGGCAAAGTAATACTAGATTTTTAAAAATCTCAGTAGTAGCACGGAGTTTGGATAAGTGCCCAGTATATGACAATAGACAATATATAATAAAAAGTGGGTGTTATATTGTATAGTGGCATTAAGTGCAATAATGTGCACCGCTGCCTACCGCTTCGGAGATAAAAGGCGTATTGTTATGTTATGTTATGAACTTTTGCTATTGGCCACTGCATATTCATAACAAGCTACACATAATTTGGAACAACATTAAATAAAACAAAACAATTTGCATTTTAATAAAATTTAATTACAAAACAAAAATAATGATAAATCAGATCAATATCACAACACATTCAAACACACACACACACACACACACACACACACGTATATGTTTGTAGGTGCAAACACACAAATTTGGATCTGACATTTGTTTATGGTAACTCAGCACCGAGTCATCATAATCAGAAGCAGGGGCAGGATCTTCTCCAAGGGGCTGTCATCATCTTCAATTATGACGGGGATGGGGGGCCCGTAGCCCTGTGGTGGCACAAATGGTGGGGAGCCATAAGGTACGGGTGCATTATTGTAGCCTCGGTAACCGTAAGGATTCGCTGTTACCACCTGGAAAAGGTTTTGTGTTACCATTATAAGTATAAGTATAAATATTTCCATCCAAAGGTTGTCTGGAAGAACTCACCATTGTGTGATAGGACCGCCCATTGTACGCATATTTACTTCAATTCTTTGTTTTGGAGCTACTTAAATGTGTAGAATAAAGCATAAATAATATATGCTCTATTGTACACCACACAATCGTACTACAGGACAATATTACCTAACAAAAGTAGTGTACAATGGGCGGTCTTATCGCACAAGGCGATTTCTTACAGACAACCTTTGGATGGAGCAGCAACAGGAGTCTGATATGGGTCGTCAAGTGTACATTAATTAATAACTGTATAAAATACTAGACATACTATTTTTTTTAAGGGGGGAAAATCATCGAATGACTGCTCCCGCCTGGGTGAGGCGGGAGGGAGTGTCAGACTCTTACTGACTAAAAACCACCCCGTTCCTTCTCCTACACGTCGAGCCGGAGCCCCGGTTACCCGTTAGGTTCTCCGCGACACTATACATACTATACAAGAATACTAATATCACTAATAATACTAGTATCAATAGCATATATAAATAAATAAATAAATATAGGTACGTCGTACAGCTTTTTGGGTTTAGTGGTTGTGAGTGCCAATGTCCAACAAGGCGTGTTAGGTTAGACTTTGTGTAGTGCAATGTACTATTGAATATTTGATCAGATTTATTTTAACATGGAATCTGGAATTCATATTTGCTTCACATTAAAAACAGTTGACTGCCTCGTTGGCTGTGTGGTCACAAGTGCGACTGCCGGGCAAGGGGTCTCGGTTCCGACTCCCGAGTTAAAAAAAAACTTAGTAGTAGCACGGAGTCTGGAATTGTGCCCGGTATATGGCTATATGCTCACCCCCTATTACATGGGACTCATAACATAAATAGTGAAAAGTGGGTGTTTCATTGTACAGTGGCATTAAGTGCCGTAATGTGCACTTTTACCTACCCCTTCGGAAATATAAAGGCGTGATGTTATGTTATGTTAAAAACAACTTTCTAGTGCTAAGTAGACAACATCGTAACAATGATTGTATAAAAAATAATACAGAACGTTATTCCTTTCAAAATAATCAGAGCAAAAACGCCAGTCACATCACACACACATCTATAGAATTTGAATTCATAATACATGACATGTCACATAGTTCCAAAATAATTTTCAAAGGTCCTTAAACCACAGACTAACGGTTCTCATTAACCGAAATCAGTACTCGAGTTACCAAAACGAGACAGGCTTAGAATTAACCTGAACCCATGCGTGGCGAACGTGATGTTATGATGTTGTAGTTACGCCTCGTCTGCCTCGAAAAACAATGACAGTTGGGGTCAGACGAGCAAAGGATGTCATCTGTCGGTCACTGCGCTCTAAGCCGATCAAGTTAAGCCGATTTCGACTAACATCATTAGATGATTCTTGTTACGACAAGCTCAAAGCCTTATAATGTTAAGTTGCGAATGACCTGTTCGGAAACCTGAGCGTATTGTTTCAAAAAATATACTACAGCCTATTATATAGAAAAAAGCGTACAGGCCGTACGGTCGCCATTATTCAATTGTTTTGCAAAACCGGATGAAACACAAGTGTGTTGTCGACCATTTTCGAAAGTGTTTAATAGGAATAGGAATTATTAGGAACTTTTGTGAGACACACTAAATTAATTATTATGTTTTCGGCTTACTCACGTAATTATTTTACGAGGAACTCGACTAGTTTCAAGCCATGGTAGAGGCTCGTATTCATCAGTAGCAGCACGACAGTCGCCGCGTCGTGGGTCGCGGAATACTGCTCATGAATTTGAGCCTCTAGCATGTCTTGAAACTAGTCGAGTTCCTCGTCAAACAATAACGTGTTTAAGCCGAAAGCATATCTAATAATAAGTTTTTAGGAACTACCTAAATGAGTCCATAATAAAAAAATGTGTAGGATCATCTCAACTAGATAAAACTGCTTAAGATTACGCAAAATATAGAGTTTTCGATCTTGCATTGAGGCTGAAATAAGCCTTCCATTTGTCTCGAGCCCAATTTTACAATTGACTAAACCACCTATACGATTCTGGAGTAAATAAATCTACTAGTATTAGCATTGGATAAAATCTATTGAACAAAGCTTCGATACATGCCTAGAATAACAATGAATCCCACAAGTTCTCTAAAAAGGTTCTCTTTTCTTTAAATGTTCTTTTTTATAAAGTTTGTACTTACATCTTTAATGTATTGGATTGAATTTATTTAATTGTATTTATCAATATGAGTGGAATGACCAGTCAAATGAAAGTCAAAAATGTTTCCAAATTAAAACTAGTTATTATAACATTCAATGAATGAAAATGACATCATGAAGGAACTATGTTTCACCGTCATTGCCTTGACAGTTGTGTACAGAATCCTTGCGAAGATGTGTAAACGTAGGTATAATAGTAGCATACAATTATACAATGGACGTCCTCTGTGCCCGCTGATGTCAGAATCATTAAACAAGTAATTAATGGTGTGTACTTTTTTAAAGTTCACCTTTTATATAGCAAGAGGATTGTAGAACTTGAAAATTGATAAATAATACTTATTTATGATGTTTGAAATTGATGGATTATAGATTAATACTACGGCCAATTAAAAATATGCTTACTAAAAACATCGATTAAAACACGATTTTCTAAAATAATTAATTTTAAAGCAAAAGCTGTCGTGCCATCCTTGAAAAAAGGTCAAAGAATTAATATAACTTCGATTCGTTACTTTAAAAGATAAGGACCTCCTGTCCTTTCTAATCCCATCTTAGCTCAAGACTAGTCTTCTAGAAATGGAAAAATCAATTTAAAACTCACATTAAATCCGACGACCACAGAGAGAATTATAATGAAACTTGCAGACACCATTGTAGTTACTATGATTGTCAAACTCAATCCCTTAGATTTTATACCAAAAATATTTCTTTGTCTTCAAGTTATGTCTTTGTTTTATTGGAATGTATAGTCTCAAAGATAGACAGGTGTGATGAAGTTCTATCATCATGAGTCACTTCTGAGTTAATTAAAAATAATCTTTGGTTAAACGATTAGTTCTATTATTATTATAGTTGACATGTTCACTTCTATAGAAGTGGATGCGTCAGTATAGATGATAAGCTCATTTACCGCTGTACTCAAAGTCATTTAGTGGTTAAACTCAACCCGATTCTTTGCAATCGTTTTCGGAATAAAATCATAAAGAGATAAGAATCCAGGATCTATTCACACTGTTCCATTTTCAAAAATTTAAATAATTTCGACCAGTAAGAGAGTCTGAGTGAAAGTGTTATGCATATACATTACTATCGAATCAATACTAAATTATGTATGCAAGAAACCTCGTAAACTAACACTAGAACTCAAATAGTATGGTAATCAACTTCTTGTACTTAATGGCGGCAAACATTGTTCAGAACCACATCGTCTAGCTGTTACGATTCATATTTCCTAGCTTATGGGCAATACTTGTCACATATATGTGTGTGTGTGTGTGTGTGTGTGTGTACGCTTCAAATTGGCGTACTTACAAAACAGTTAACATTGGTGCTTATTGAAATGAGCAAATGTGAAATA